CTGTGAGGTGCCAGGAACAAGGGCTGAGCAGGAACAGTTTTTAAAAATGACACATGCTCAGAGAAATGTCTAAACTCCAACAATAGAGGTGGGTTTATACTCAGTTCCTGCCGTGACTCGCAATATGTAGGCAACCTTGGCCTTCGTTCACCCGCCTGCTCATTATTTCACCTGCAAACCCTCACTGAGGACCTGGGCTCTAGGCCAAGTACTACGGACGTAAAGGCGGATGACACAGACATAGGCCCTGACGTCACAGACTTAGTCTGGGGGACAAACAAGAAGTCACGCATCACTGCACAGCAGCCAAACACAGGGGCCTGGAGCCAGCCTGCTCGGTGACTTGGGACAGGGGACTCAGCCTCCCCGTGCCTCAGTTTCCTTCTCTGAAAAACAGGGCTCACAGCAGCGGTTCCTGTGTTGTAGGTGGTCTGGACGCTGGGCAAAGCCCTCAGAACTGGGACCTGCACGTGGCCACAGTGAGCATCGGAGAGGTGGCTGATAGTGACCGACCGGCAGCGATACCTGCTAAAGATTGCGGGGCACAGGGGTGCCTGGGGGCACAAAGGAGGGGCCTGGCCTTCCCGGTGGGACCCAGGGTCCTGAAGGAGAGCGGGAGTCGGCCGGGCCGGGCCTGGCTGTGACCGCTTCAGACCTGGGGTCACTTGGCCAGCCTCCGACACCTCCTCTGCGGGGCCAGGGCCTCTGCCGTCCATTAGGTTCATGTAAGGACATTGGGCCTTCGCCAGGGCCCTGGGCCTGTCACCTGCTGTCTGGGAGATGTGATGAGGACCACAGTGTCACCAGTGCCTGGGGAAAGCCGCCCTGGCCCTCCAGACTTTTCACATTTTATTAGGTCGATTTGCTCATCCACAGCCTGATGTCTTTCTGGTGCATCGCGCTTCCTTAACCCCAGGCCACAGCCCGGCCCGTTGGTGGGCAGGGGGGCCCTACGGTGAAGGGGGTGGGCTATGGGGCTGTTACCTTTCCCTGGAACGTGGCAGGCAGGTGGCCAGTGAGGTGGGCTGCTCTTGGGTCTCAGCAGAAACATGAAGAGAGTCAGGGCAGTTGGGCTCAGGCTGCCAGAGGGGCTTCCAGCCGGGTCCTCTTCTCGGGTGAGGTGGGGGTGGGGTGGGGGTGGGGTGGGCGGTGGCGGTGTGATGAGCCACCTCTGGGCAGGACCTCCAAAGTTTGGGAGGCTTGAATCTGAATGTCCGTGAAGCCCCCAGAAGGAGGATGGGAATGGGTTGACTCCATGAGTCCCTTCTCTCCAAGCGTCTGCTCCTACTTCTGCAACAGTGGATAAACAGTGTGCCCTGAGGGGCGGGCCTGTGGCCAGGGGCCCTGCAGCCCCGGCCTCGGCCTCTAGGCTGTCCCTGGGCTTGTACAGAGACAGGTGGGTCCCGTCAGGCATGGGGGGGGCCTGTCAGGAGGCTGAGGACCTCACACCCTTCCCAGGGGAGTCCAGCCCCTCTGGGCTTTTTCTGTGGCCACCAGGGAGCTCCCCTCCCTGTGATTTTGCCCCTGTTTCCCCCCTAGGGTCCCACGCACCGCCCTCCACATCCTGAGTGCAGTCCTAAGCAGGTCCTTAGTGCAGGGGGCAGGAGGAAAGGCCCTGGGCTGGCTATGCCAGGAAGGACGGGGTCGGTGGTGAGAGAGAGGAAGGTAAAGCGCCCCCCAAGGTGTTGAGGGCCCAGGCCAGGCTGCTCCCCCCACCCACCCCACCTTGTTTCATGCTTCAGCGACCAGCACCCCCCTAACTTTGCCCTGGAAGGGGACACCAGCTAAGGAAGTGGTTACTGTAGGATTTCCACCCCAGGGACGTTGCCTCTCCCTCTTCCCCAAAATGCCAGGGCCGCCTTGGTGCTGCAGACCCCATGCGCTTCTGCGGTGGAGGAACGACGCAGCCCGAGAGAGCTCCCAGGCAGCCAGGCCTGCGTTTCTGCAGAGCATCTTCTGCCCCGACGCGCACTTTGAACAGGTGACAAGGGAACGAGACGGAAGTGTCGCCAGTGAGCCGCTGAGCAGGAGGGTGAGGAAGCCGGGGCCTCGGGGGGCCCACAGCACCCACTCTGGAGCTGGGTCCAAATCCTGTCTCTGACCTCCCCACAGTTAGCTGACCGCACCGTGCCTCAGTTTCTCACCTGTACAATGGGGCAACAGCACTAATTGCAGCGTCCATGAGGATGAAATTAGACATCAGTGAAGCACATAGAACATTGGCAAGGCCAAGCAGAAAGAGCCATGCACACGTTTAAGAGAAATGCTGGTTCCAGGGTTCCCAGACCCTCGGGGCCCCAGTTCAAAGCAGCAGGAAAGGCCAGGAAGAAGACTCAGCACCAGACGGTGATTCCAGAAGTCGTCTTGCCTCAGAGCCGGTCGCCCAGACTCCCGTCCCTTCCACGCCTTCCTGACCTGTCTCGCCTGCAGTTCGCTGCACTGTCATTGAGACCATGCCCTCCTCTCGGCCAGCTGACCCCCCATCCTCGCGAAATGTCTGTCACCTGCCATAACTGAAAGCCTGCGTTTCTAGTCACAAATAGAAGGAAACTGGAAACACTCATCCCATGGAAACAAAACAACAAGATCACGACGTTGTAGCCGACGCCTCGGCCCACCACCGGCTGCGAGCCGAGGCCGGGCTGCGGGGAGCCGCATGGGACAGTGTGGACATTACACAGCGGATATTGCTCGTCCGGGAAGAAGAGTGAAATCTTGCCAGGGATCGAGAGGGTATTATGCCCAGTGGACAAGTCAGACAGAGAAAGACAAATGCCGTATGATCTCACTTACATGTGGAATCCACCACAACCCAAAATGAATGAGCAAACAAAACAGAAGCAAACTCCTAAATACAGAGAAGAAATGAATGGCCAGGGGAGAGGGGGCGGGGAGATCCGTGAGAAAGGGGAAGGGACGGAGATGCAGAAATTGCCAGTTACCAACACCGTCACGGGCTGCGGTATACAGCCCGGGGAGCACAGCCAATGACACCGTAATGACCGTGGGTGGGGCCGTGTGGGCACAAGGCTGATGAGGGCTCGCGTTATGAGGCATATAAATGCCTGGTCACTATGCTGCACACCTGAAACTAATACATTATGTGCCAACAGTAACGGGAAAAGTAAAGAGTCAGGTATTAGCAAGGGTTGAGCAGACTCTCCAGGCAGCCAATCAGGGGGCGGAAAGGGAACCCACTAGGGAATACACGTCTCACTGTGTGAAGGCACCAATCACAGTTAGCGCCCCCTCGGACCCCGCCTAGAGAGATCGCTGCCTGGCAGGGGCGTGAGTCCCCATCTCAGGGAGCTCGCCCTGCGGCGGAGGGTTGGTTGAGCGCTCAGTAAACACCCGCCACAGGCCAGGCCCCGGGCAAGGCTTCTAGGTGCCGCCTCTAGGTGTGCTCAGGGCCTCCCCGGAGAGCAGGAAGGACAGAGGAGCTGTAGGTCAGGGGCTGGGTTTGTCCAGCTCAGGGCCCTCTGGCTGCTGCACGTCTAGCCTCCTGCTACCTCTGGGCGGCGGGAGCACCTGTGCTCTGGGTCTGCGTGGAGGATCTAGTAAAACACAGATGCCTGCCCCCCCCCACCCACTGGGCCCCCCAGGATGTGAAGTCACAGCAAGGCCCAGCTCTGCCCAGCCCTCCTCCTCCCGTCTCCTTGGGGCCTAGGCCAGTGTGGGGCAGGCCCGGGGGGCACCCAGACTCCCTTGTACTCCCTGGAGATGTCTCGCTGCTCCCAGCACCCGTCACCCTGGCTCTAACCCGAGGCATCACAAGCCATCGTCCTTCCCCACCAAGCAGGGCCAGCAGACGTGAACTGCTGGCTGACCGTTGGCCGGCTCCAAGGAGAGGGGCGACTGAGCCTCGGAAACAGCAGGAGCTGGACTGCATGCACTCGGCCTGCCCTGCAGGGCACCCCGCCTGCCCACCTGGGTGCCCAGGTAGTGACCGGTGCCCAGAGTGACTGGAGCCCTGGCTCTGCCCAAGGGCAGGTCCAGCGCCCACGCCACATACGGCCGGGCCGCATGTGCAGGCGCAGAGCCACTCCACATGCCTTTGGGCAGAGCTGCGCGCAGCCCGCGCACACTCCACACACGTCCCTCCGCACAGCCTGCAGGGCCCAGCCCCCCGGAAACGTGATGGGCGGCACGGCGGGAGCTTGTGAGCCTGGGGTTGTGCCTGCCCAGCACGAGAACCTGCCTGGGCTGCAGACAGCCTCAGGGCGCCCCAGCACCACCTCGGGCCCAGAAAGGCCCAGAGCACTGCGGGTCGAGCCGCGAGGGGCTGAATCGCAGACTCACGGAGGCCAGACCACAGACTGAGATGGAACCTGGCGCATGCGCAGCACACCAGCCCCAGCTCGCATCCCAGCCTTGGCGGCAGTCGCCCCAGAGGGCCGGGACTTGGGGCAGTGACTGTCGGCTTCCCCACTTGTTGTCTCTGCTCCCAACTTAGGACCAACCAGACAAAGCCAAATGTGCTCCCCTGACCAATCACATAGGTGCCCCCCTTCTAGGTAGGGGCCTCCAGCATCCCTATTCTATCAACTTCCAACCATGGCCCACCTGAAGCCGCAGCCTTCTCCACTAGGAGGCCCCTTGCAGGGTGAAGGGAAGCAGGTGGTGTGAGCCTCAGGGAGCAGAGAGGGCTCATGGGCCCCCAGGTCTGTGCCCGGGATGGTGGCCCTGGGGCACCCCCGCAGTCCTCGTCCCTGGGAGCAGACGGAGCACTCAGGATGAACTCAAGACTCATTCATTCATTCATCCATTCATTCGGCAAACACCTCCCGAGTCTGAGCGGAGGAAGCCCAAGGACGACCAATGAACACTCGAAAGCAGAAGGGGGCGGAGGGGCTGCAGCAGGAGGGCACGGAGGGAGGGCGGAGGGCACGGGAGCTCCCGTGTTCGGGGTGGGAAGCCTTTCTGAAGGCGGCCGTGGCTTTCTCCCTCTTTGGTTAGGGCGGCTCAGGACAGCCAGGGGCTTCACCCCTCTGAGCCCCCCTCCTCCTCCGCGGTGCCGGCAGCCATCAGCCTCCCTGTCGCTGTCGCTGTCCAGCGTGGCGCCCAGGTTGCTCCGCAGCCCCCGTCAGCCAAGCACGTCGTTCCTGAGACACAGAGGGACGGACAGGCAGCCAGCATCCGCCTGTGGGGACAAGGAAAGCACATGAGGCAGCGGTAGCCCCCTCAGGCACGGGGTGCTTTGCGGGACGCGCCCCGAAGCCTGGTTCACTGGACGCGGCAAAAGGCCAGCCCGGCCGTGTGTTTATCAACTTACCGCCCACAGGTAAAAGAGTGCGGCTCAGCTTTGGGAAGAGAGCGCTGAGTGGAATCTTGCTCTGTCACCGTGGGACGTGGGGACAATTGTTTAACCTCTTCAGCCTCACTCTCAGCACATGGAAACCCAGATGCAAAAAGTAGCCCTCCCTGCTGGCCGTTGGGCCCTCTGCATGAGACCTCCACGAAGACCTGGAGCCTTGGCCAGCTCGCCTCTGCCCCTGCCCGGGGGTCTGTCCTGTTCTGGAGAGCACCCCCAGCCCCCCAAGGAAGGCTCTGGTTCTGCCTCACACCCCAGCGGCCCGCCTTCCACGGTCTGTGCACACACACACACACACACACACACACACATATTCCTTTTTGTTCTTTCCCTTGGTCATTTCCACTGCCAGTATTCCTTGGAGGTCATTCCATATCAGTACCTACAGAGCTTTTTGAACCTTCTTCAACCCTGAGTAGCACCCACTGTACCGGTGTGCGTAATTTATTTCCCACAGGTGGGTACGTCTGCAGGTACATCCCAGAAAGTAAGTGGCCAGCGTGGAGGGCATGTGCTGTTGTTTCAAAGCTGCTGCTGTTGTAATGGGCAGTCTGCCTTCTTCATCTTTTTTTATTTTTTTTTAGATTTTATTTATTTATTTATTTATTTATTTATTTATTTATTTATAGAGAGAAGGGGAGGGGAGGAGAGAGGGAGAGAAACATAGATGTGAGAGAGGAACATCAATCCGTTGCCTCTCGCACACACCCTGATAGGAGACCAAACCTGCAACCCAGGCATGTGCCCTGCCCAGGAATCAAACTGTTGGGAACCTTACACCTGGCTTCTAGCTAAAAACATTGCATTGATTACAGGAACCTGTGGGCTCCACAAAGCCAATCGGCTACAGGTAAATGAGGTGTGCATGCGCTCCCCAAGCCAATCGGCTACAGGTACATGAGGTGTGCATGCGCTCCCCAAGCCAATCGGCTACAGGCACATGAGGTGTCCACGAGTACCAGTTGCACCCAAGTAATCAATAAGCGGGCCCTTCTTTGTCTCAAGCTAGCCAATAGCAAGCAACCTAATCTCCTTCCTCTCCCTCCCCCCCTATATATATATCCAGTTCGGAAAAATAAAGTTTGCAGCTTGATCAGAATCTTTTGTCTTGCTGCCATTCTTCGCGCCTCTTGTCCCCCCAACTCATTTGTTCTAGGTAGGTGGTCGAGCCCCAGTTGATTGCTCCGCGGGCCGGAGCAAGTGGCGCCCAACGTGGAGGCCCGATAGCCGCCGGAACAAAGCGCCGTCCCCGCCAGTGACTTCCCCGCACAGATTGGATCGCCGCGACTACTCACCGCGAGACAGATCCAGGAGCCCCCTCCCCTCGACGGCGAACTCGGCCAGGTAAGGCCCCCCAATCATGGGACAAGCATGTTCACAAAGTGATATTTTTATAAGTAGATTAAAGCAAACTCTCAAGGTGTGAGGAACTCGAGTTAAGAAAAAGGATTTAGTTTTATTTTTTGACTTTATATTCAAAATGTGCCCCTGGTTCCCCCAAAAGGGGACGATTGACCCGCAGTGTTGGAACCGGGTCGGAGATTGCCTTAATGACTATTATCGAGTCTCTGGCCCCCAGACCGTCCCTATCACCGCCTTCAGTTATTTTAATCTTATTAAAGAAATCTTAGTCACTCATGGGCATTCTCTGGATGTCCGGAGCCTCTGTAAAGAGGGAAAAGAAGTTCTAAAAAATCAATCTCGGCCCCCTTAGAGGGCCCCCTCAATTTGCCCCTCAATTTCTATTAACATAGAGGAAGAGATTAAAAAAACCCCTAACCCTTCCCGTAATTCCTCAAATAACCATGTCGACAAATTAAACCCAGCAGAAGAGGCCGAACTCGAAAAAGAGGCAGCTTCTTACAATAACCTTGACTGGCCTCCTCTCTCTTCTGCCCCCTTACTTAAAGATCTCCCAGCTTTTCGGCCGCCCCCCTATGCACCCTCAAACCTACCGCTCGCAGCCACCCGTATTCTAGCCCCCATTCTAAACAACCCCGAGCCACCAACAATCCACCAAAAACCCCTTCTTCAAAAAACCTCCATTCAAGAAGCCTTAATTCTCATTTGAGAAATCAAGGCCGTGGCTAAAGAATTCACTGATTTGACCGTATCCACCCCCACTGAATTACTCGCTTTCCCCAAACCGTGGGGAGTAGACCTAGATACCCAGACTGCTGACATTTTAATAGCCACACATCAAGCATTTAACATATCTAACCCTCACCTAGCCGAGGATTGCTGGTTATGTATGAGCCTAGGCACTCCCATGCCTTTAGCTATTCCTGTCAATATATCCACCCTTAATAAATAACAGCTACAATGTAACCCTAGTTTACCTTTTAGAGTCCAACCTACAATATTTCCACCCTCCCAGTGCTTATAAGGCATAGCTCAAAATAATAGCTTCGACATTCCCGTCGGCTTTATAGAATTTACTAGTTGTAGCAGCATAACCAATTATAGTAACCCCCTTTGCCCAGGTCATGGACAAATTTTCATTTGTGGAAACAACCTGGCCTTTTCAGCCTTGCCCGCTAACTGGACCGGGCTATGTGTCTTGGCTACCTTTACTACCAGATATAGATGTTCTCCCCGGAGACGAGCCTGTCCCCATTCCCAGCTTAGACCATATTGCGGGGCGACAAAAAAAGAGCATTAACATTCATACCCTTATTAGTTGGATTAGGCGTCTCTGGAGCAGTTGCCACAGGGACTGCAGGATTGGGAGTCGCAGTCCATTCATACACAAAGCTCTCTAAACAACTAATTGATGATGTCCAGGCTCTGTCCAGTACCATTAGTGACATCCAAGACCAAGTAGACTCCCTAACAGAAGTTGTCCTTCAAAACAGACGAGGTCTAGATTTACTTACTGCAGAACAGGGAGGTATCTGTTTGGCTTTACAGGAACACTGCTGCTTCTATGCCAACAAACCAGGCATCGTCCGAGACAAGATAAAACAGTTACAAGAAGACTTAGAAAAAAGAAGAAAAGAACTTTCCGAACACCCCCTTTGGGGTGGACTCAACGGAATTCTCCCCTATCTCCTTCTCCTCTTAGGACCTTTAGTTTCTATCACCCTCATCCTCTCTTTTGCCCCCTGGATTCTTAGACGTATAACCAACTTAGCCAAAGACCAACTTAACAATGTACTAGGAAGGCCTATTCAGGTGCACTATCAACAATTAGAAATGCTGAAACATGGAGCGGACTCTGAGCCGTGCAGCCGCTGGGGTGCTAGCCCACGATTCCTGCCAGGTTCCCCTCCTGCGGGAGCAGCATAACCCTCGAAGGTATGCTTCACAGCCAAGTAGCTGTGATAGACACCGCTGGGTGCAAGGCAAAGCACTGCAAGGAGAGGCCTGTAGCATACGGCCACTTCGAGTCTCCTGAGAGGTAAGCTGACTTGCAAAGAGGTTGGTGCCCAACTCCTCTCCTCCCAAAAGGTACCCTAAAGCTCAGAATGAGCCCAGGAGGAGTCAGGCCTCTGCCTCCCCCAGCCGGTTAAAGTCTACCCTACCTACATTCTCCTCGCCCTCAAAGTAATAAAAAGGGGAGCATCAAACTGGCCACCTGTGGCTTTGCAAGGTGATGCGGAACCAGCCGAACCACACCAGTCAGGGCTGCCTCCCGCATCTTCATCAATGCGGCACGTTCTGACGGTGGATCCTGGCTGATTCCACAGGAAAACTGAGTAACACCCGCTCCCCTATGACACACATCCCCTATGAGCGCCTTTGACACACGTCACTGCCCTTTGTGGGTCGTTTCTGTGCCTCCCTTCTGCCCGCCCCCACCCCTGCCCCATGAGGCTGTTGGTCATTTTCTTGTTGATTTGTAAGTGCTCTTTGTATTCTAGGAAAGGGAGCTGCAGACGGATCCCCAGTGGGTCACTCACAGCCTCCCTTCTCGCCTCTCTGCCGAAGACCGGGCCCTGTGTGCTCTCTCTTTTCAAAAATTTCCAGCCTCTGGGGCAGTTCTTTGTACACAGTAGATGATCAATAAATGCTTGTGGATAACTTAATGCTGTAACAACTTTCTCTGGTCATCTTCATTACACATCACCCACCACCTCATGTTCATTTTGTTTAAATATATATTCATATTTCTATTTCAATGCATTAAAGATAATATAAAAGATATTCAAGAACTGGACATTTAAAAGGATGAGCTAAAAATAAACACAGACGGGAGTTCTGATGCTACTTCCCACACTCCGGCAGACCGTCTGCGCCGCCCCAGAGGCGCAGCGCCTGCTTTGGAGACCTCTGGGTCACACGGTCTCACGGACACACGGTGTTTACTGAGACCTTCCGCTTAGCCACCTGGTGAAGGGGCGTGGCCTCTGGGGTTTGTTGGGAAATGTTCGGCTTGTCTCTCCCAGTCGAACACCCAGCATTTCTGAGTCCTCACGGGAACCTGGATCATACTCACCAAGAGTACAGGAGGGCGTGGGGGTGGTGCGGTGCAGGAGACACCAGACCCGGGATGCAGTAGCCCAGGGCCGCAGCACTAGGAGGTCAACCACGGAGGGCAACACCAAGCCAAGCCGGCGAGAGGCTCTGAAGACCAGGCAGGGGTGTGTGTTCATGCTCGTTTCTCAAAGAGGCTGCGAGGCGCAGGGGCTGGGACTTCCAGGGACCCCCAGGTGTCTGCACTAGCCTGATGGGTCTTCGGGAGCATCTATAAATTGGAGGAAGGAAGGGGAAGGTGGGAGCCTAGGTCCAGAGCTCATGGCGCCCCCTGGTGGGCACATCCTGCCCTGCCCAGTGACCCATTTGTCCTGGGCATTGGCTGGGCAGGTGGCTGCTGAGTCATTCTCCCTGGAGCCCCCTTCTGGCGCAAATCCAGGGGTTTTGCTGGTGTTCTGGAGGGCAGCGTCTGAGCAGAGAAGAGACTTTTCAGAAATACTTTGCTTTTTAAGCCCCAATTCTTCGTCGAGCTTTCAGATGCAATTTACAAATCTCATTCTATGAATAGATCCAGCCAATTTCAACAATCCTTTTTAAGGCGAACTTTGATTAATGTTTGTACCATTTACCTACTTAGTTAATTAAACTCCATTAAACATTTTAAGCTGCAATCAAAGTTTATTATATTCCATTTTCTAAGTTTCTCAATTATCTAACAAATCTTCCCCAGTTCTGAAGTGATTCTTATCAATCAGGGACACTAAACTTATAATTATGGTGATTTTTAAATATTCAAAAACTGTTTACCAACTTAGCAAAATTTCATCTTCCAATCAGAGGTCAAAATCAATGACTCAAGAGCACACTGAAATTAGAATCACAAGTCTGATGTGAACACTCAGATATGCCCAATTCTCTCCGATTTTGTAAGTTCTTAAAGTGCCAGAGACATGAAGCAGATTTCTGAGCTTCACACAGGAAGCTGAGTGATATACACACATGGCGTACAGACATACCTCATCATCCCCACACTCACCTCCAAACACCCCTGGTTAAAACTGCCCCCCAGATGGGTAGCGTCTTCCTTCTCCGCACACACTCACATTGGGTGAGGGTCCTTAGTGGGGGGTTTTTCCCAAGCTCCTGCTGGAGTACCGGAAGTCAGTTCTGACATGAATTTTCTTTCCACTTTGTGAGTTGTCCACAATACTTCTCCATTCCACTGAGGAAGTGTTCATTGTGCAGCGTTAGAAGTTAGAACTTGGTCCTTGAGTTTGGCTAAGAAAGTCATCAGCACCAAGAACTCTAGTGTAAGAACTTCATTTAGAAAGTCTCGGAGGTAGAAATGAGCCAGGGGGCCGCATGGACTGAGGAAACGCGTTAAGGAGGCACAGGAAGAGCCCTTGAGGGTTAGGAGGCAGAAAGGCAAAGATAACACACCTGCGAGAAGGAGCGGGGGAAGGCACAGGTGTGCTCCAGAGGGGTCGCCCTGAGGAAAGAAGGGGGTGGGGAAAGGTGCAGGCGGGAGTGCGAGAGAAAGGGGGAGAGCAAATTCTGGGTCCTTCACTTTGAAGGTTTGTATCTGGTTTCCAAAGGTGGGGGGTTAGGGGAGGTCTAAGGGGAGAATTCAATAGAATATTCATCAGCTTTCCAAGTGCATCCTTTCAGGGTCGTTGTCTCTGCTGATTGGTTGGTGATAGGGTCAAGGGTCAGAGGTCAGGGGTCATTGCTGGTCCTACTGTCAGTCTTGGCATCGCTTCATGTGGTTCTGCTGCTTTTCTGGGCCTGGAGCTGAAACATGACTGAGGCCTAGATGTTATCTCCAGTTTGCCCAAAACTCCATCTCCGTTGTCCGCAGACCCGAGGCTTGGTTCCTAAAGTACACTCATTGGAACCTCGTTGCCCTGAGGGCTTAATGCTTAAGGGAGTGGCCATGCGAGAGCTCACGTGTGGGGCATGTGGAGCTGTCCTCTGCCCCTCTCATTCCTCCTCGAATGGGGTCCAAACCACATGCCTAGCAACATGTTGGGGAGAGAAGACCACTCTGGGGTGAAGTCCGAGTGAGGCAGGAGATGGAGTAGGAAATCCCGACACCGCAGCTGTCACCTGTCAGCCCTGATTCCCAAGAACTGCCTGTGACACCTGATAATAATTAGTTTTGTGGTTTCCTCTCCGAGTGAGCAATCAAGGAGGATTGTGGGAACTCGCATGTGTAGATGCTTCATAAAGGGCTCTCGGCGCCTCTTGTTCGACAGGCAGCCGCGTCTCCCCGCACAGCGCCAGCCTCGGCCCTGGCGCACAATGGCGAAGGTCGGAGTGAACGGATTCGGCCGTATCGGGCGCCTGGTCACCAGGGCTGCCTTTTATTCTGGCAAAGTGGACATTGTTGCCATCAATGATCCTTTCATTGCCCTCAACTACATGGTCTACTTGTTCCAGTATGATTCTACTCATGGAAAGTTCAAGGGCACAGTCAAGGCCGAGAACAAGAAGCTTGTCATCAATGGAAAGCCCATCTCCGTCTTCCAGGAGCGGGATCCTGCCAACATCAAATGGGCTGACGCCGGTGCCGAGTACATTGTGGAGTCCACTGGGGTCTTCACCACCATGGAGAAGGCTGCGGCTCACCTGAAGGGAGGAGCCAAGAGGGTCGTCATCTCTGCTCCTTCCGAGGACGCCCCCACGTTTGTGATGGGTGTGAACCAGGACCAGTATGACAGCTCCATGGAGATTGTCAGCAACGCCTCCTGCACCGCCAACTGCTTGGCCCCTCTGGCCAAGGTCATCCATGACCGCTTTGGCATCGTAGAGGGACTCATGACCATCGTCCTCGCCATCACTGCCACCCAGAAGACCATGGACAGCAGCACCTCTAGGAAGGGGTGGCATGATGGCCAAGTGGCTGCCCAGAGCATCATCCCTGCTTCCACTGGCGCTGCCAAGGCTGTGGGCAAGGTCATCCCGGAGCTGAACGGGAAGCTCACGGGCTTGGCCTTCCGCGTCCCCTCCTTCAGTGTGTCGGCTGTGGATCTGACCTGCCGTCTGGAGAGAGCTGCCGAATACAACGACATCAAGAAGGTAGTGAAAGAGGCATCCGAGGGCCCCCTCAAGGGCATCCTGGGCTACACTGAGGACCAGGTCGTCTCCTCTGACTTTAACAATGACACCCACTCCTCCACCTTCGATGCCGGCGCTGGCGTTGCCCTCAACGACCACTTTGTCAAGCTCATTTCCTGGTATGACAGTGAAGTCGGCTACAGCAACAGGGTGCTGGACCTCGTGGTCCACATGGCCTCCAAGGAGTGAGAGCCGCCGGACCACCGGCCCCAGCGACAGCTGCCGGGGAGCCCTCGCCCCAAATTGATCCCCCAACACACGGAATCCCCTGACCTCCTGTTCCTGTCCCAGCCCCCCTGAAAAGGGGAGGCGCTTAGGGAGCCCTGTCTTGTCTTGCACCATTAATAAAGGTCACTGGACCCAGCCAAGAAAACGATGAAGCCTGTAGCCATTTAATAGGCCAGTCCCTGGCCAGAGGTGGCCTGCTCCTGCGTCTTGGGAAGGGTGCTTCCCTTCACCAAGTTCCCTCTTGCTTTGCTTTACAGCATCCGTGTGGTCAGTCCGGTTCTTGGTTCGCGTCCCCCACGAGCCTGGGCCCCGCTGTCTCCATCTGCAGCACTAAACCTCTAACAGTTGCTTTCTCTACTTCTGCCCATTGCTTGGCACCCGGGACTTGCCACCCTGGTGACATTCCGTACCTGGCCTATCCTTCCTGCTCTGCTCACGCCCTCCTCACTGTCCCTCTATCAGAAGGACTTGGGGCTGTTCCGGTTTGGGGCTTTCGAGCGAAGCAGCTCTCGGAGTTCCAGTGCCATCTCCATCTCCCCTTCTCTCCGAGCCCCCTCCGTGCCCCCTCGACTCCGTCGGGAGCACCCTGAAGGTGGACCTGCTGGGCCAGGGGCTGAGCGTCTGTTTCGTTCTCCTCGATTTTCCTTTTGCAGAGCAATCTCCGAACAGAAAGGACTGAGCTTCCCAGCCTCAGTTTCCCCTCCATCTGCCAACCTCACCCAGGGCTCGGGGGGCCGTAGGCAGGCAAGCAGTGGGTCATGGAGGACCTGCCGCAGTCAGTGCCAGGGCTGGTGAACATACCAGGAGCCACGGATGCCCACGGCCGGGGGGGGGGCAGGCCCACGCCGGCCTCAGCGTATCAGAGAGGGCGGTGCGGACTGGGGCAGTATCCCTTAGCGCCCAGCATCCCTTCCCCTTGTGCTAACAGCCGTTTTTGGACTGCCCCTTCCCCACTTACATGGACCTGCCCGAATCAGTTTCTTTGCATCCATAGGCTCCCTGCTGATCCCTAAGTCTTCCTAGGGGAGGTGACAGCTGAGCTGGGCCCTGAGGATGAATGGGACTTGGCAGATGAGGGTTGCAGGAGGGTGTCGGGCGGGAACCGCACTGGAAACGAAGAGGCAGAAGCGACCCGGCACACCGAGGAAATTCAGTCCCCCCTCCCTCCGGGGGTGCAGTGAGAACCGGCACCAGGGCCTGTCTGCAGAGCTGGGGGCATGGGTCCTCCCAAAAGGTAACCCAGAGCTGGCCAGGATTTTAAATAAAGCAACTTGATCAGATTTCCACCTTGGAAAGCTCATTCTGGCTACCGTGCTGGGCCAGATGGAGGCAGGAGTCCAGCCGAGAGGCAGCTGGGATGGACAGAGGCGAAGCCGAGCAGCCGGGAAGGGACAGGCCTGACTCCGGAGCCCCAAGGGGAAGCCTGGGCGTGAAGGGTGGGGGAGGAAAGCAGATGGGTCTCGAATCCTGGGTGGATTTTAAACAGGAAGCAGGCGGAGGACCCTCCAGGCCCGGGTTCACAGCAGAGTTGAGCAGACAGCCCAGCAGGAGCCCTGCCCAGCCCAGGTCTGCCCCGCCCCGGGGCCCTCCCTCCACTACGAGGAGAATCAGCTGCTGCCTTCCTCCTGGGACAACAAGTGGTAATACTCGGTCCTCATCCCAACCTGTAAATATGCCCATGTATGCAAAAGAGGCTCTCTGGATGCGAGTAAATGAAGGATCTTACGGCGGGGAGATTATCCCGATGGGCTTGATAGAATCGCAAGTGTCCTTATGAGAGCGAAGTTGATGTGAAGACGGCGCAGAGCGGGACAAGAAGGCCCTACGCTGCTGTTTCGGGGGCTGGAGAAGCGCCTCCGGACGGAAGCTCGAGGGAGCAAGCAGCGGGTTCGCCCTGGAGACCCCGGAAGGAACCAGCCCTACTGGCCCCTCGGTTGTAGCCCAGTGAGACCCGCTTCAGACTCTTGACTTTGAGGACTGTAATACATTTGTCTTGCTTCCGGGCTACTAACTTTGGGGTAATGTGCTGCGGCCACAGTAGGAAACTAACGCAGCAGGTCTCCGCCGATGAGTAAGGACCGCCCTCTCCCTCCCCCACCCCCCACCCCACCCCCACCCCCACCCCCCCCCCCACCCCCCCCCCCCCCCCATTCTACGGACCCACTGGGCTCTACACACAAGGCGGTGCCCTCCTGCCTCCCCTGTGACGTCATTGGGGGCGTGGCGTAATAAAGGTCCAATCCCCTAAGGGCTGAATAACAAGCTCCACGTGAGAACACTTAGCCACACCCCGGAGGCTAGGAGGCTACTGTTGGAGCCTCTGTCTGCTTTTCCCTGCCCGCCCCCACAGGGTTCTGTGGGGGGACTAGAACGCCACAGTGAGTAAATCCAGAGGCTGGCCTAGGAGGGCACTGAGCCCGCGCTTTTATACCCAGCCCGAGGCAGTCATCCTTACTCCAAGCCACCTGGGACGGCCCGCTTTCCCACTTCTGCTGCTCTCTTTGCAGTCACGGGGCAGCAGAACGAGATTCGGCCCTGGCCAAGGAGACACAGCAGCAGCCTGCCGGGGCTCCTGGGGAAACCGTGCTTCCCGACCAAAAGGGTGTATGCTCCTGGCACCCCTGCCCCACCCCACGCTTCTGAAGGCAGAGATGAGACCCGGTGCTGTGGCGGACGGCCTGTAACCAGGAAGTGACAGGCGTGGTTAAGATGATGGGTGCAAAAAAGAAGGGTCTGGTCCCTGGTGGCATCGTTAGGTAACCAAACCAACTCCTGAAACCCTCCGTTCTGGAATTACAGCTACACATGGAAAAGAAAGTCCATCTGTGTGAGGCATACAGTGGGGCTTTCTACTTGCAGCCTAACACACTCCTGCCGATGCTGCGCCTGGATGAACAGGTCAGCGGAACAGGCAGCCTCGCGGAAACACTGAAGCACAAAAATCTAGAAGGAGAAAGGAAATATTTATAAATGAGAAGCAATAAATGAAGATAAAGCACAGACCTCGGGACTACTTGGTGGCTGGGAGGGCACCGGAGGCATGTGCCCCCCGCGGGGTGGGTTTTCATTCCGGGCCATGGCGGCTCTCCCTCCTACACCCATGAACACTCACCCACCTGAGAACAGACTGTGAAAGTGTTTGAAGCAAAAACTGACAGAAATAATGGGAGAAATAGTCAGCTGTACAATAGTTGGGGACTTCAATACCTGACTCTCAGTAATAGAACAACCAGACAGGACCAAGGAAGCAGCTGTGGCTGGTGTGGCTCGGTGGACTGAGTGCCGGTCTGCAAAGCAAAGGATCGCCAGTTCGATTCCCAGTCAAGGCACAAGCCTGGGTTGTGGGCCAGGTCCCCAGTAGGGGGTGTTCGAGAGGCAACCACACATTGATGTTTCTCTCCCTCTTTTCCCCTCTCTCTAAAAATAAAATCTTTCAAAAAAGAAAGAAAGAAGCACCTGGAGGACCAACATGACCCCCAGACCCCCAGATGTAAGAGACAAACGGAACCCTCCCCCAGTTGGCACGACTCACGTTCTCAAGTGCACGTGGGCATTTTCCAGGCTGGGCTGTGTGTTAGGCCACAGGTTAGTCTCAGAGGATTTAAAACAAAGGCTCTTTAAAAATATCTTCTCTTTCGATTCCCAGTCAGGGCACATGCCAGGGTTGCAGGTGGGTCCCCTGCAGGCCAGTTTCCAGCAGGGGATGCATGAAAGGCAACCATACATTGATGTTTTTCTCCCTCTCTCCTTCCCTTCCTCTCTAAAGATAAATAAATAAAATCTAAAATAAATAAATAAATAAAAATACCTTCTCTGACTACAGTGGGATAGTTAGAAAATAACAGAAATGAAATAGGAAAATTCACAAAACTGTGGAATTTAAACAACACACTAAAAAAAAAAAATCAGGGGATCGAAGGAGGAGTCACCAGTGAAACAGGTCCTGAGCCCAGTGCCAGTGTCCTGGGGCCTTTCCCACACCACCACCAGGTCTCCTGCACCCACTGGGTGTCTCGCCACTCACCCCCCTTCTGACACCGTCCACGGAGAGAGCATCAGACCCACGGTTTCAGGGCTCAGTCACACAAGACTGCCCCCCACTTCAGATGCCAGTCACAAGTCCAGGATGTCACCTCCCCTCATGGGTTCAGACCATTCCCTTCCCGGTGCCTTGAAAAGGGGAGAAAAGTGTCACGTTCAAGAACGTTTGTTTTCCTCGTTCTGTCCTCGCAGACACGAGCGGGACCAGTGCTACACCACGTGAATAGAAGCAGAAACAGTTACTAGTCTCTTGCCCAAAGGAGGACCCAAAACTCCCTTTGTCCTTTATCCAGTTTTGGCCTCAGATTCTGAGTTTGAGCTGCTGTTGTTTGGGCTGACAACTTAATTAGCAGAAGCTTGTAGGTTTCCTTATTAGGTTGACTTTTTTTTTCTTTTTTAGAGACAGAGGGGAAGGGCAGGAGAAAGAGACAGAAGCACTGATGTGAGAGAGGAACATGGACTGGTTGCCTCTTGTAGGCACCTGGTCTGAGAACTGAACGCAAAACCCAGGCATGTGCCCTGACTGGGAATCAAACCCGTGACCTTCTGCTTTGTGGGATGACACCCAACCAGCTGAGCCACACTGGTCAGGGCTAGGTTGACTTTTTAAAAACTTCATAACAGGAAATAATAAAATGAGCCCTAGTTGGACTTGTAATATTTTGACATTTCAGAATAAACATTGGGCATTGTCGTCTATAGTCTCGAATGTAACCTGGTACCGCCCTGACAATGCAGAAAGGACCCGAGTCAGTGGGACAACCTTGATCACATCACTGCAGTGTCCGTATTCGTCCTGGCCCGGGTGCGGCGGCTCCGATTTCCACAGCTGCTGAGCACGGCCCGCGTCCCTCCCTGCAGTGACATCTCTGTCCCCAGAGACCAGGAACCTGGCCTGGGGTCTCTGAGACAGGGCGAGA